CTTCTTCTTCTTCTTCTTCTTCTTCTTCTTCTTCTTCTTCTTCTTCTCCTTCTTCTTTTTGCTTATTTATTTTAATTTTCATTTTTGTGTTTTTGTGGGAGGTTCTTATTTGGTTTCGGTTTTGGTTTTGTTTGTTTTTAAGAGAGAGAGATCATAGAGTTGGGTGTGTAGGGAGATGGGGAGGACCTGGAAGAGGGAAATACGATCAAAATATATCAAATGAAAAAGAAAAAATTTTTAATAAAATATAAAAAGTAGGACACTGAGAAGTTACAGACCTAATGATGTATAAGGGACAGTCACATTCGGGACTGGCTCTCTAGGGCTCCTGGCCTAGGGAAGAATCCCTTTGGTACTCACAGCCACATAGGGATCATGTGTATCATGCTGCATTCACAAACAAGCCTGGAATGTCAACTAGAAAGGCATCATGGCATCTGCTCAGCTTCAAGCCAGATTTTAACAGTGAGCCTCCTTCAGGCTAAAGACAGGTCATCAGTAAGATACAAGCACTGTTCTCGCCATGGACCAGAACTTGGGTCCCACTATCTAAGTGTAGCAGCTCACAGGCCCCTGTTACTTCAGTACCGGGAGATGTGTTGCCCTCCTCTGGCCTCCATGGGCTCCTCTGCACTCATGTCCACACGTCCACTCGCCTTCGCACAACTAAAAATAAAATCAATCTTTTAAAAATACTATCGAGTTGAATGTTTCATTACCTATAAATTTTAATGTTCCCTGAAAACCAGAAATTTGTTTCTCTCTCTCTCTCTCTCTCTCTCTCTCTCTGGTTTTTAGAGACAGTCCCTCTTCTTTTCTGAATTCCTTGTGACCATGTAATGTGAGAGCACACCCCCCTTATTTACACTCCCGCATGACACCCCCTGGTCCTTTTTTACAAAACTCATTAACATCTATTACCTCTTGAGTTTACAGTAAAGCATTCTAAGACTCATCCTGACTTAGCTGGAGATGAAGCAGAGCACAGCGCTTGAGAAACGACTTTCCCAGAAGCCCAAATTTAGCAGTGGTGAACAAAGGACTCCAGCCAGGCACTTCGGCTCCAAATCTGGGCTGGGCCCTCATGCTTTTTTGTGAGGATTTCCTTAGTTACTTTTGCTTCATTTAGGCACAGGAACAATTATTTTCAGACAATTCTGAACAAAATTCAGCAAGTTAGTTTTATGCGCATCCTCCAAAACACACACTGGGAGAAAGAGAAGGATTTTGAAAGGGTTTCTCTCAGACCTTAAATTCACCCTCAAGCATCCAGCCTGGTGGCAGAGGCAGGGAGCAGTGTAGACCGACCACTAAAGCCAGGGTTAGCAGGGAGGGTGAGGCTAGTCAGTCCACCTCAGTTTGCCTGTCCTCCGTCCAAGTGGGGCAGCATTTGGATGAACAGCCATGGCTATGAAGCAGTGTCTGGCACAGGTGTGGATCTGGAACGCGGACACCTGAGTCTTCACATTTGTCCCCAGAAGAAAGGATTGTGAGCATCTGTCCCTGTTACCAGATGGTGAGAAGCAGAGACCACTGGGCATTTCCTTGTCCCTCGGCGTCATAAGAAACTGTCTTCCCGTTGCTCTCAAGCTCTCAAACAGAAGACATGCTACAGGGGTGAGTACACTCACAAGACCCAGCGCCTGCCCCATGTCACCGGCTAGGACAGGCTCTCCACACCGTCCCAGGAAAGGAGTGGCGGCACTCAAGAAGCAACAGGGCAAAGACAAGCAGAGTGACTCCTGAGCGACTGAAATAAACTGTCCCCTTAAAGAACTGGACCTCCTGGTAAAGCTGGTGTCCGAGGATAAAATGGCAACTGATCTTGAGGCTGAAGTAGATTTTTAAAAGACAGAAAGAGAAGAAAACATCCCACACTCCCTCCCCACACCCTCTCAGGTTCAAAGCAAACAGGAAAAGATGTTTTTAAAGTAGAAGCGGCATGGGGGGAAGGTGTTAGGTGTTGAAACTGTCAGCCCTCTAATGGCAAGAATGAGTTACCAGATGCCTGGCTCAGCCAGTGTTCGGTACTGATCCTGATGCCGGCATCAGACTTAATACAGTTTGTAATGACACAGTAAAGCCTTTGCTCCACTGAAGGTAATCAATGAAATGAAAAGTGGTTTATTGATTTCTAGCCAAAGCCACAGGGTGCCTTTTACAATGAGACCATAGTGCACAGTTACTACAAGAAAATGCTCCCTTGTCAAGACGAGAGGCTAGAAACTGAAGATGGAAAAGTAGGCAGAAGAGGAATAAAAGGATGTCTGAGCCAATCATAGCTCAGACAATCTCAGCTCCTAGGGAAGTGGAGGCAGAGGGATCACAAGTTTGATGCTAGCCTGGCCCTTACATGCAGAGACACTGACCAAAAAGGGGGAAGGAAAGTGGGAAACAAACAAACAAGCAAAAACATTGACAAGAAATGGTCTTTTAACACACATCAAAATCTGAATAATGCTGGTTGCTGAGAGTATGCGTTTATTGTGTAAATAACATGAATGAAAAGCTTTGGTGGTAGCAAGACTATATCTACAGCTCAGCAATGATTTCTGGTTCGTGTTCTCTGCTAAGACTAGAAACCTGGATGATAATGGTGGTGAATCTATAACAGGAACCACCTAATATATCAAAGACATATTTTGAGTGTTTGAGTGAGCAGCATTTGATTAGCAATAAAAAGTCAATATTTTGTCTTCTGGTGTTGATGGCAGTCCTATCTGTTTATTGAATGAAGCATCCTAAATACAACCTTTGTTCAGTTGATCCTAACTCCTCAGCTTAGTGTGTTCAGGACTATTTCCCTCTCCCTGGTCCTCTGAGACTTGCTATGTCATCCCTTGAACTATCAGCTTTGCTTCACCATGAGGGAAAGTCTGTCTTATTGAAACAGACTGGACAAAAAGGAAGGAGGTTCTTTCGAGTTATACTGAAAAGGATTGTTGACCCGATTGGAAGCTCTGTCACATAAGTCACCACCAACTTGCAACGGTGGTTCGGGGTAAGCTGTATTGCTGTATTTCCAAAGAGTTTCTGGTATCTTTCTTAAAGAAGACTTACTATAAAAGAATGCCTTCTTACCCATGCCCTGACAGCTCCCTGTGAAAAATGCACCCTGAGTCACTGGAGCAGCTATGAGACAGTCAGGAAGCATGATTTAGAAGTTAATACTTGGGCTTCTCTAGAACTGGGAATAAGTAAATATATTTTCTAAAAATTGCTTTGATACCTGGAGAGATATGGACTGACTGTCTTCTGTGAATTGGGTATTTTATTTTTACTTTTTGGAAAGAAAGAAAGAGAAGAAGAAAGAAAGAAAGAAAGAAAGAAAGAAAGAAAGAAAGAAAGAAAGAAAGAAAGAAAGAAA